AACGGACAAAATGACAAAATGTTTTAATGAAGTTGACTACAGTATATTCATATTTGTCAGTGCTTTCATGTCAATTCGGCGAACATAAACATAAATGATCATGGTAAAGATGATGATTAAATTAGGATTAAAAATCGGTAGTGAGAGCTGCTGAATTTCCTCCCGTAAAATGTGATATAAAAACAATCGATTATTTTTGAAGTTGTAAACTCAAGTGGATGAAACTACATTTATTAGTGCTTTCATGTCAATTCGGCGAACATATGATACATTAAATGATCGTGAGGATGATGATTTAAAAAATCTTTTGTTTGTAGCCGGTCTGCATTTCCTGATGAGAAAACAAACCGATGCTTTTTGTAGTTGTGGTACACCAACATGGATTAAACCTGTGTTTTTTTTTACTACAATGTTGGGGAAATTAATGGATAAAATGCACGGATTATTATTATTATTCATTCCCACTCCGATCGGGACACTAGGTCCACCGTTTCCCCACAGCGAGGCTCCCAGTTGACAGTTTACGTGGTCTGGGCTGGGTGCAGTGGCGGACTGGCCATCGGGACGAATCCCGATGGGCCGTACTAGCACAAGCACATCCCCCACTCCCCCCGTTGACAATTTACTAGCGGTACCGAAGTGGGCCGGTCGAGAGTCCCGGGATGATTTTTAGTCCCAATCCACCACTGGCTACATGACCGTGTGATCGCCCATATTGACGCACCTAATTCCTAAACTTCTAACAGATACAACATAAACCAATCCTTCAGCCTCATATGAGCTCTCAGACACGTTCAAAATTAAACTGTTTTCGCTGTCTGAGCTTGCTGCTGTGAGCGCCATCGTGCGTTTACATCAGGTTTACATGCAGATGCTGGGATCCTCAACAGTGCAGCTGGAGCGCTATGACGTCACACATAATCTGGCGGGACTTGAAGAATCCCGAGAAGATCCAGAAAATGGTCAACATTGAAGGGCAGATTAATGGTTATCAAAGTACAAATATCCAATATCAGTTCAGTAACGGTTTTCAAGGGGACAATATTTACTCAAATTGATGGGTTTGGATGATGGGGGAAACTCGTGTCAAAGGCTTTTTAAGCAGTATCAATCTGATAATGGCCTGGTGTCATTCAGTGTATTATTTTACAAATAAATGAGGTAAGCTGCCCACTGAAGGTCTGTGGCAGTGAAGTTAAGGAGGCTGTCAGTCAGAACCAGTACACAGTCTCACAGGGATGATAACATCCTGATGCTCCGCTGCAGCAGCAGCAGGAGGGTGTGTGTGGCTGGCTGTGTGTGTGTGAACCCTCGTCCCAGCTGGGGGCTGTGTGACAGCAGGGTTAACAATTAAATGGTATGTCAACTTTCTTGGGCGCAATACAGTCTACTGCATGGGTGTCCAAACTTTTTTTACCGAGGGCCACATACAGAAAAATACACAATGGCTGGGCCACTCACTAGAGGTTTATTACCTCATAAGTTCAGTTATAAGTTGAAAAAAATCATCCAATGTAGGTAAATTATTCTTGATAGAGGTACTTGAAAATGCTTTAAGAAAAAAACTGCAGACATCACAGCTCTCCATAGGGTTTAATTAATTTTGTTAGCAGCAGATTCCTTAAAACAGAAGCTTCAGATTGCTGATAATAAGGGGAAATATGAAGGGTATATTTCAAGGTTGTTGTGAAAATAGGTTATTGGGCTTTTTTCTTATCAACTTAGATTTGTTGGAACATGTTTTCAACTTTAATTGACTGAATTTATTTGAAAATAGGGCTTATTAACTAGACCCTCCAGAAAAACGCGGGCAAAAATCCTTGATAATGCGGGCTAAATTCCTTGATTATGCGGGCTAAAATCCTTGATTATGCGATTAAACATGCGGGGTTTTTATGTGATTTTATGCGGTGAAATTGCGGGAAGTTGCGAAATATGCGGAAAGTTGCGAAATATACTAAATATGCGGGGAAAAATAATAAAATATTTTTTAAATATTGGGCTGTCTTATTTATTCTCTCTCACACACAACCTGCCACTAACGTTAAACCCCTTTACTATTCAATTAAACACATTCAATGGTTATTTATTGTAAAAGCAACAGGGCTATTTTAATCTCACACACACCCCCCCACACACACACACACACTTTTCCGCCTCATTCTGTTTTCATTTACTCCTTCGTTATCTGACCAGCTTCGATCTTGGAGGCTACTCACTTCGTTTCTTGTAGCCCTCGAAATGGTTTTGGAGGTTGATGAACGTGAGTTGTTTGGCTTTCTTGTCCGCAGCAGCAAAAAGCATTTTCGAATGTTTGAATGAATCAAAGTGGGTCGTCACCGTCGATTTTCTCTTATGCTCCAACACACAGTTGCACGGGGTGCAGAATAGTTTCCCCCCACTTTTTGCCCGGTCTTTAGTAGAAATGTTCGTCGGTAAATGAGATGGATTAGATTTTTTCATCTTGGTGTTTTCTCTATCGTGTGAGCTCCACACGTTCACTCTATACAGTGTTGTTTACATTCTGTGATGCGCGAGATGATGACGTCACGTCAAAACGAGTTAACTTTTTTTTTTCTCAACTTTGTGTGGAAAAATGTGGGGATTATGCGGCCTTTTGATAAATATGCAGCCTTTTAAAAATCTGCGCCATTTTGCTGATTATGCGGTAAATTCTGCGATCGCAGAATCGCGTTTTTCTGGAGGGTCTAATTAACACATGAATACTTTGTAATATATTTGAATATATTTAAGAAGTACAATATAAGACAAGCAGAAGTTTTATTATACTTAAGTCATTATACTTTTTTAGTTTGCTGTGGGCCGATTAAAAATGGCCAGCGGGCCGTAGTTTGGATACCCCTGGTCTACTGTATGTTCCAGTTTGGACGTAACACAAGGCTCTTTAGCGAAGAAACATAACTGAATAACCAATGAGTTCTGTGATGTTGCTGAGATTGCTTTCTTTCAGAGAACAGAAGGGTCCTGTCGGCTTTTCTCCAGCGATACACACTCTAACCATATGTCCTCTATCTGCAGGAGAGATCCGCCGGGTGAAAGGCACACCCTTTGACCTTACCACGCCTGTTCTGATTGGCCCTCGGCTGAAGGAAGTTCCGGGTCCTGGGTTTGACCATAACTTCTGCCTGTCGTTCCCTGGAGACAGCTGGACAGAGAGAGATGCTGCCAGGTTTGCTGCAGAATACACATTGACACACACTACACACACACATTTGTCTTTAATGAAGTCTAGCAGGAATACTTCTTTCTTCATCTCAGAGTGTGTCACCCAGCTAGTGGGCGGGTCCTAGAGGTTTCTACAAGCCAACCTGGGGTCCAGTTCTACACTGCCAATTTCCTGGATGGTCTGACAGGAAAGGGGGGGGTGAGGTACAGGAAGCACAGCTCCTTCTGTCTGGAGACGCAGAACTGGCCTGATGCCGTGAACCAGGTAAGAGGCTCCTCATCCAAACACACTGCATGTTACTGAGAGGGTCCTGTTGTATCTGTTGTATCTTGTTTTATCCGTTATAAAGGCTACCTTGTTAGAGAGACTGGTGCTTTGGTAGAGGTGATGTGTTCCAATCCTACAGGTCGAATAGGGTTGACCGAATAGATCACAACCTTGGTTTCCACAGAATCATAATGTTGTGTGTGTGTGTGTCTCTCTTAAGGCTCCCTTTCCTTCCTGTCTCCTGTGTCCCGGTGAGGACTACCATCATGTGACTCGCTTCACCTTCACCACTGTGTGACCTCCAGCAGGACAGAGAAGAAGAAATCTAGTGAAGGACGTCCAATTGTTGATTGCACATATAATTGTTTGCAGTATGATCAGGAAGCATAGTGTTAATCAGACGGTGCCTTTCTCACTTCCCCTCTGTGTAACTGTGTCATTTGATGCAGATGTTTTGAATGTGGATGATTTCAGTGCAGCAGGCTGTGATGCAGAGAGAGACTCTGACTATACTCTGTAGTTATAATGATTTATCATCCTGTGCGATACAATTATTACTATGAACAAAGAATACATAAAGAGCCTTCTCAACCAAGCTGCTGTTGTTGTTACTATTGGTTGTAATTTGTTCTTTATATCAACAGATCAGTCCCTGTCTATGGATATATTGTGGTCCAGTATTAATAATTAGAGGGCCATCATTTCTGTTAGGAGCATTACCTGTGTTCAACATCCTCCACAGGCTGAGCTATTCCTATAACATCAAGTGAGGAGGCGGGTTTGGGTGAGAGGACATCTTACACTGAGAGAGACATGCTGTGTAGCTATGGCAACATACGTAATCTATCACAGAGGCTTAAATCAAATGTAATGGTCGGTGTGAGCCTCACTGCTACAGAGCTGATCCAACCAGGGAGCAGAGAGACCCTGCCGCTGACCCCAGCTGACCCTGCCGCTGACCCCAGCTGACCCTGCCGCTGACCCCCGCTGACCATGCCGCTGACACCCGCTGCACCTCCCGCACTTTACTGCTCCAAGGACAGTGTGTAGTTATTACTCCAAATTCAGCACAAATGTAGTTTGGAATTTAAACATTATTTCTAGCGTGTTACCATATCAGTTGAAGAAGTAGAAAGATTTTGACATTTTGAAAAAAGATTCCCTTTTATAAGCAGTGGCGGCGCCAGGGTATGGCTGGGGTAGGCTACAGCCATAGATGAGAGTAACACCTACGTCACTTCTGGGCGAAAATTACGGCCCCGCCCACTTTTGGGGGAAAACAACGCTGTCATTTGAATGGCGGTCGATACAAATTCTGAAGTTTTGCCAATCCGATCAAATTGTTTTGAAAACCGTGGATTTTTGGATCTTCAAAGAGCTCGATTACCAGGCCCGGTTCCAGAACAAAATGACTCAGGGTGCATCTGAGATTAGAGAGGGCGCAGTGGTAAAGTGCTATTTTTGATAGTGTTGAGTGGACCTAACACCCTCTAGGGGGGTTGTCACCTCCTCCAGGGGGGTCCGGTGGCATGCTCCTCCGGGAAGATTTTTTTTTAAATATTGAAGTTAAAAGCATCAATCTGGTGCACTTTGAGAGCAAAATTAAGAGATCTATGGATCTATGTGCTCTTTGCTTGATTCATGCCTTCCCAGTCCCTTATCACGTAGCCTAGAGCATGGCGCCAGTTGTAGTAGCCAGTTGTGGTGAAGGCATCTGACTTACTTGAACCGAAATGTCTACATGCATAGCAGAAGATGGCATCTTTTTTACATGAATATTCCAGCCAATCTCTGTTTTGAAACCATGAGCGGCAAAATGAGCGCCTTACCCCACTGTACAGGCGAGTTGGGTACCTTTTTAAATATACCTGGGCAGACTCTGGCAGTTTGTCAATCGCGAGGAAACTGGCTTCCAAGCCAATATTTCAAGGATACTACGTCATCGAGTGCCGCCGAAGGACTGTTCCAATCTCCAGCATACTTGGAATTCCACCGAGGCCGCGTCGTTGGTTTGGGGGTAATTTCGAGGCTGCGCATGGGTAGACTTCGCGTCCTTCAAATCCCCACAATGCTTTGCGCATGGACCAATTTCCCCAAATCTGTGGCGGAAAAAGTAAGGCGGGGCCTCTCATATGACGCACACCTGCAAACTTGCTAGCCTATTCCACTCTTCGTTTTCGGAATGCCAGGAAGGATTCTTGCCCTAGCTTCTGAAGGAAGTGATTTGATTTTCAAATGAGGGTGCATAACGACTCAACTGAGGGTTCAATGCACCCTTATGCACCCCCGTAGAAGCGGGCCTGAGTGGCGTAGAACATGTGTTGGTAATATGTACTTTGTTACATTTGTTATCACCAAAATGTGTACCGTGAAAAAGTAAAGAACCCACCGGTGCGGGAAGTCTCCCTCTAGGGTCTTGACAACCATACGGCGCTTAACCCGAGGTTTTTTATTTAATCCCATCGGTTTTTTTTTTATCCGGTGTAAAAAAACTAATGGGTTGCGAACTCCGACTACAAAACGAATAGAAACCCCTAGGGGCAATGTCATTTGTTTGTATAAAATGATTTAACGAATTTGTTCTTTTTATATTGTTCTTTATTTACTTTTCTCTACCACTTTCCCCCGACCCTCGAGACAATTTACATCTTCTATAATGAGATTACTACCGTAAAGGGTTAAGATTTTGACTTTCTCCCTGCATTTCTATATGGGGTGGAAACACATTTTGGTGAAAAAACTTGAACATAAAGTTATCAAATTTTAACAGGGACTTGGGAACTTATTTTTTACTCAAAATTAAAGGGTGAACGGGATTTGAATGAATTTAAAAAACGAACAGACTACTATTAGCCCCCTGAAATTCGTGGGCGCCAAATACAAGGTGTTTCCATGACGTAAAAGGGAAGGTCCTTTTTTCCAAGGGTTTAAGGAGACAATCAGGTATCGCGGTTTGATTAAATTTCCGACAGTAAACTAAATAGAATACGCCCGTTAACCGTTTTATTTTCTTTTTTTGTAATTTGGGTCGTCGAACTCCCTTGCTCCCCAAAGAACGTAATAAGACAAGGGTTGGGTTTTTGAAGGAACCAAGTAACCTTTAAAATGTGAAAGGATAATATCCAAAAGTAACTACGAATCGTGACTTCCGGTTCGTTTTTTTTGGGAAGCCTAAACCCCAGATTGGTCAACCCTTTGTATTTGAAAATGGGTGGTTCCTTACAAGGAATAAAAAAAGGCATTTTTATTTCACTTTTGTCCGCGATTTTACCCCTGGTTGAACGAGATGTTGTTCAGGGTTTCGTCCCGTTCTGGGGCACCGGGGAGTCCGAAACGTCGCTGACACAACCTTTGGCTCCTAAAAGACCAGGATTTTGTAGGGGGGTTTGCCCCAAGCAAAATTTAACTTCTTCCAAATATAAAGGTCACAAAATAAGAGCAACGGTTGTCTCTCTCCTCCCTTTTCTCTAACCTTACAAATTTTAATTAAGTTGGTCCCCTAATAATTTAAAGGTGACGCCAACAGTCACAAAGCGGTTACTACCCTCCTTCCTACCCGAAAAGGAGTAAAAAAGAATTAGGTTTTTACTGGTACCCTTTTTTGTTTGGTCACGGTTCGTTAATTTTCAAAGAAGACGGTTATTTTTCTTTCCTATTTTATTACACGTTTTTTATTTTTTTTCGGGACCCGAAGCAGGTAAATTTTGTACAAAAAAGACAACCTCCCATTTAAAGAGTTACAAGGTAAGGGAGTTACTGACTACGGGTAAAATAACACGTTGAAACGACAAAAGCCAGAACACATAAAGTACAGATTAAAAGGTAAATAGAGGGTAAGGTACCCAGAAGAAATAAAAATAAGAATGAACTAAATTAACAAATTACAAAGGTACAGCACATTACCGGGAAGATTGGGTGAGAACCTCTTTCCACAAAAAATACAACAACAAAAAACAATGGAAACCGGGAAATCCCCGTAAAATGTTGTTTTAATTTTGACCTCCCTTCCTTAAAAAGTTGTAAAAAAAAGGAAATATAACCAGTTTGTTTATGGGGTGGGGGTTTTGTAATTACACTGTCCCCCGAAGTAATAAAGAAGTCCTTAAGGGGGTCCACAGGATTTTTTACCCCTGGTGTTAAATTTTTACTACCATAAAAATAATTTTTTTGGCCCCTGAGGGTCTACGAAGTCCTTTATATGGTAGTCCCGCCGAACATAAAAATGGTGTCGAAACCCGACCGTCTTACCTTCCCCCTGGGGTAAGGAAAGTCGTCTCCACTACGCCCCCAAATCTTTTCGTTTTCTTCCCTCAACCCAGGGAAAAGACCGCCCAACAGTTGACCGAAAGGTAAGGCGAGGTTTTTTTCTGACAAAACGGTTCCCCCCGGATAAAGGAAACAGTACCAACGGGTGAAAGACACGACGCTCCATAATGGGGGGTGCAAGAAGACTTTGAAGAAAAGGAGGAGGACCCCTTTGACAATGGGGAAAGAAGTTCAAAAGGGTGGCATGGGTTGGCCCCCGGTACCACCCCCCCGGTATCCCCGTAGTCACGAACATCTCGATAAAGGGTTTTACGGCTACCGAAGGTGGGCAATTTGAATCGATTGCCGACCGAAACTCAAGTCGAAAAAATTGACCTTGGGCCCCGGGAGCGGATAAAATGAGAAGGCCGTCCAGGATAAAAGCAACGCGGGGTTCACGTTATTCCTAAAGTATTTTACTCGGCTTTCGACGCTCGATCAAAGTTTTGAGCTTCGGTGGTTTACTATGTAAATTTGTGCACCTGTGTAAAGAAGGATTTATAAACGGCGAGATAAATTTTTAGAACCCGGTCCCCCCCCCAGGAAAAAAGGACGGAGACGGAGCCGATCGAACCGACGACCGGTTGACGACACCCAAGGTGAACGAATAACGATGAAGTAACAACGAAAACCGACGAACGGACCGGGGGGGGTGGTGTGGGGGGTTTTCGAAAGTGTTGGGGGCCGAAGGGTGAACCATCACGAAGCCCCCCTATCAATTAAAAATTACAAACCTCCTTAAACCTCCTAACAAACATTTGGTTGGAGCAAGGCCGCACAGCACCCCATTTTTTTGACCCCATCTTAAGCAATTTCCTTTTCCCTAATTCTTTGTTGGGTCCTTATGTTTCAAATTTTGGTTAATTTAGAACAAAATTAATATAATGGGTTTCATTTTGTTAAATTGTTTATGTAAGGGTGGGGTAAGAGGATTTTAGTGCCTCCGTGAAGACCGCGTCTTCATGAGGGCCCCCGAAGTTCCAAAAGATTGGAGCACAAACTCCTGTACAGGGAGGGGTCCCTTTGCCCGTTCAGGTTTTTTTTGGGTTCCCCGGGGCTTTAGAAGTTTTACTAGTGTTTTGTAAATATGGTGTCTCCAAGTGAAAGACTCGCTCGATTCTGTCACCCAACCGTCAACAAGTAACCAGCCAAAAGGGAAGCCCGCCTCTTATAATGGTCTCATTCATCAGTCCAAACAACTTAAAAGGTACAAACGGAAAAGTGTCCATACACACACAACCACACCACAACACAAAAGACAGGGGGGAGACAGGGAATCCCGTTCTAAAT